CCACAGACTGAATGCAAGAAGTAAAATGTGCAAACACAAGCCCAATAACTGAGAAGAACTCAGTAGAGGTGAATCTATACACATATGTTAAAGTGTATCAATCTCAAGTATCAAAGGTACAGCTCAAAGCCAGAGAAGACACTAAGGCAGGTAAATACTGACTACTCTTGTTGTTATGTCTACACAGTCACATGAACACACACGTGTGTATCATAACACAAAACTGAATACTGGGTTCCTGCTTTGATCAATGTGCTTGGCCTCATATGTTTGCCTTCTCATTCATCTTTTGGACCTGAGCATACCACAATTTCCTATCATCTGCATGCTAGCTAGTGTGGGGCTCTGTACTAGTCACCACTTTGAAAGAAGCTCCTCTGGTGAAATTGAGAGATGCACTTTGTGTATAAAGGTAAGTTGAGGACAGCTTATTGCTATGTGAAATTAACAGAATAATAGCATTAGCTTTCCCTGTGTCCCATGACCTAGCCACTCATGTTCTGGGCCCTATTACTGGTATCAGAGATGAGTTCCATCCCGAGGTGTATGCCTTAAATCTGACTTCACTTGTACAAATAAGCAGCACTAAGTGGACTCAGTGCATTTAAAAACAGCCATCAAGTTGGGAGCAGAAAGTGGTAAGGGGTGCAGGATAGGATGTGGGGAGAGGGGATGGGGTGGACTTGATCAAAACCCATTATGTACATGTGTGAGATTCTTAAGCAGCATAAACCTTAAAATATATTTGTTGATTAAATGATATAAAAGACATTGAAGATCTGATTAAGTTCTTCATTTCTTGTTAAGACGAACTTCAAATCATGCCTCGTTGACATCTGGCTGGGTATCTACTTCAGAGGCCTTGACTGGCTTTAGCATGAGTTTATATTTTCTCTCCAAAATGAGAAGACAAGAAGAAAGGACATGGCATCAAACACCTCTTTAAGCTTTATCTTCTTGTGGTAAAGGGACAGGAGAAGCCTGTACTCGCCCCGCTAACTGTGACGCTGTCAAGGCTACTGGAGGAGCTCCATTCTGCTGTAAAGTCCCCATCTTGCTCACCATGTGGACAGGCAATCAAGGAGATTGTAGCTGGCAGATTAGACCAACAGAACCATCTCCACTGAAGCCATTGCCTATCTAGTGTTCTCTTCTTCATTTCTGTAACCTGTTTTCAGCTTCCTGTGTTTCCGTACACTCCCTCCCTCTCTCGCTCTCTCACATCAATTTCACCCCTCCATTCATATTGTGTCCGTCCTCTGGGCCCACACTAAGTGAGCCTCTATTCTCCTTTTATCTCTGTCTGCACACTTTCTGGCCCTGAAGTGAATAATGGTAAATATTGGGGGATGATAAAGTAAATATCTATACCGTATTCCCTAAGGACCAGATTGTTTATATAAATAATATAATTATTGCTGCCTTTGCAGTTTAAGGTTCCAGGACAAAAAGTTTTACTGTGACATCCTGACATGGTGTCAGGAAACCAAAAATGTGACACTGACATATTTTCACGGCCTAAATTTGTTTCTCAAAGATAAGCCACTTTCTACAAGTGTGGTACTTATGATCTAAGAGTTATAGATAGTGAAAAGTAGAAATTTAAAGACAAATGTTTCATGGAATATAGAACCCAAACTGAAGTTTTTAAGATCATTATAAAACTACTGTCCTGGGGATATTTTAGAAGAGAGGATTTGTTGAATTTCCATTAATTAACTTATAGATACAATAATTTATATATATATATATATATATATATCAGTGTGCTACATCATACAAATGTATCCAGAATCAGAACAGATGCTCATTTCTTAAGCATGAAATAAAAAAAAATTTAAAGGACATTCTATATTTCAGTGCATTCTGAAGGCCCCAAAATTGGTATAAATATTTTTAAATAAGTATAATACAGCTAAGAAGATAAAAAAAAAAAATTCAACCTTCCAAAGTGTTGGCAGCATTCTCCAATTCAGCGTCTCCTGGAACCCAACACTAAATCAAACATGGTAATGAGCGGTCCTGAGGCATGGGTTGGAACAGCCATGAAGACCTCGGCATGGCTGCCCAGGCTGAACGGTGCCCTGGCTCATTAGTAAGAGGCTTCTATTTGTTAGACTAGCTGGAGTTCCACGCAGCACTCTAACCCCAGGGAGCCCTGCTGTAGGCATTAAGAACAGGGAATGAAGATTTCTTTTCTGAATTAGGTTGTCAAGTAGCTCATTTACACACTGGGTGTGTGGGAAGCCGATGAAGATGATGATATATGAAGCTGCAGACACAAATGATTCTGGAGATGCAGATACAACCCATTTAGGAAGACAGAGCATGACTCCTGTTACCCGCAGGAGGCATAGTCATGTGACTTTTGCCCTTCAAATTCACAAGTGATCCTACTGAGTTTGCAAATGTAAGAAAGCCTCATCAACTGACAATTCATATTTTGGTACACTACTGGTATCCAGCCCCAGAGACATGACCAGTTGGCTTAAGTTTTTTTCTCTCTCAGAGTCTTTAAGTCTTAATACATGACTTTTATATTTTAAGAGGGTCTGTAGACACTGATCATGGACAGTTGTGATATAAAGCAGCATTTACTATATATAATATGTATATAATATAGTTATATAATACATGTGTGTTATATGTTTTTTTAATTGTTGGTCTCCATTAGCAAAGCAGTAAGAATACTCTTTGGAGAAATTACTCCACAAAAATATTTAAAATTCTAGGCCGATGTAGTTTTAATTAATGTTTGTGGCTTATCAGCACACTGTGCGTCAGAGAAAAGTTACGCAACACAAGAAAATTGAAGTTTCAAATCAACATTACATTTGCATGTAAACTTACTTCAGTGTATTTAATGTACTTCCTTATTAAATGCTAAGTAACATTAATTTTTTCCAGATAATCTATAGTTTTCATCCTTAAATTAAAAAAATCTTTATATCCGATTTATAGTAGCAATATAAATGATGAGGAAATTTTCAAATAAACAAGGCAGAAGGGCAAAACTCATTGCAGTTCTGTACTTACTCTCCTGCTAGAGTTTCATAAGCACTTTCACGCAGTGCGCAGCCCAGCCCTGCGGGTGACCCAACACAACCTGTTTCTATATCTACCTTAAAATACCACGAGTTTTTATTCATGTGCGTATTTGTACTAGATTGTTATACTCTTCTTGCGCTGCAGGACTTTAAACACTCATTGACTATTCTATTAACAACAACGTTATCTTATTGCAATATGTGTTTGTTTATAAGAGAATAGAAAACACTGACAGAATGGCCCTTGCTTCTTTTGCTGTAGTTGAAACATGATGTAGCAAGCCTGCTGTGTTTTGCGAGTAGAAGGTAATTTGTCAAATATTTCTCTTACATATTTTCAAACCCCAGGAAAATATAGCTAATCCATATATGTTTTATTATACCACCACTAAAGTATCAAGTGTGTATATTAAAATGTCTGAAGGCAACAGTGTTTATGCTGCATCACAGGTACTGAGTATGTGACCACTGTGGTTTCTCGGATATTAAGAAAATGTGACAAGCCACTCAAATTTCAACAGAGGTTTTGTTTTGTTTTAAATACTTTAAAATTCTTCTGAAGAGCAATATAACTTGATTTAGCTAAGTTTATTTTCAGGAAAGTAAATAAATCTATAACATCTCTGTAAAGGGGTCTGTGAGTTTTCAAATTAGTATTTAACGGTTTTTTCTTCATCAGCTTTGATATGAACAGCTAGTGAAAACACACGCTATACAGATGTATGCATTTTCTGTTGTACATAGAAACAGCTGTCATTATATCTAAGTTAAGAAAAGACTGCTCCTTGAGAAACATTTACTTCCTACGGCTAACATCATCATGAAAGAGAGTGAACTTAAAAACCTGTGTTAGTGATGTTGACGTTCTCTATGGTGCTTACGTAAGAACATCATCAGTGTGTAATTCTATAAGGTGTGGCAGTATGCACCAGGAGAGGAAGGTGAGCATGAGCTGTAAGGGACAGCCAAACGACATACCTGAGAATGCAATTAAATTCAGATATATCAATTAGATATTATCATATCCCTAAAAAATTAAATTAAGGAGAACTTGAACATAACACCACAGCTTCAGTGGTCTTCTGAGAATTTTGGAAATACATTTGCATGTGCAATCCACTTCCTGTCAGACACTCTTTTTTTTTTAACTATTAGTCTCCATCAGCAAAGCAGTAAGAATACATTTTAGAGAATTTACTCCACAAAAAGTATTTAAAATTCTAGGCTGATACAGTTTTAATTAATGTCTGCGGCTTATCAGCACACTGTACGTCAGTGATTTTCACAATGGCACATTGAAAAATCTGCTTTTAAGAAAACATCCTCCCAGCTGTAAAAATCCCCGTTTCCCCTGTGCCCTCCATTCAATCTCTAAGCACCTCTGAGCGGTCGGTCCTCTCAGTGGCGGCGTGGGGTGGCGTCACAGCTGCAGAGTGTGAGCTGGCTGAATCTGTAGACCTGACTGCTGAGGCTGGTAGCCAGGGGTCCTGAGGTCAGTCTAGAAGTGTTAGATCATTCGTCTTAACCAAGAGAACACAAAACAAACAACAAACCAACTAACCAGCCAACCAAACAAAATACACGTCAACTTTTGCTCTGACATATATGTTTTTCCTGGCTAAGCCTGGGAGTGTTGTATCTCTTAAAAATATCATAAGCAAAAGAAATTTTCAGCAAAGATCTTGTTTTGTTTGATGTATTTTATAACTCTTCTGATATTCAATATAATTTGATTTAGCTGTTTTATTTCTCAAGCAAGTAATAAGTCTACATAATTTCTACAGGGGTAGGGCTCAGGCAGATGCTGTAATAGATTCAGCAACCTCAGAGCATTAGCAGGAGGAATGTGTGCTAATGTACTTTCTGGCAGTCACAGTCAGAGAGAAGAAAGAAGGCTAAGAGTAAAACCATCAGGAGGAAGCTGATTTTCTAATAGAAGATAAACTCCCAAAATACATTTAGATTGGTCAATTTAATAACTTATTTATGAGACAGTATTACCCAGTGGCAGTCTGTACACAATAAAGATATAAATACAATGAAATATGTGCATTATATATTATTAAAGGATGCAAATACTAATAACAAGGGCCCCTAAATCTTCCAATCTCTGCAGTGTAAAACTGTCTTCAAATAAGGTTTCTTGCTTATTTTAAACTGAGTATGAAATTAAAGAAATGAGAGGAGGAGAATTAAGATATCTAAGAAACACAGAACACAAGGACACACTGGGCATCTGCCTCTTGATCATGTTCACATTAACAAACACAGCTCACACTTAGAAATGTCTCCAAGTCAGAGCGGAAAGACCCCAAGTGCTTGTGGCTTGATTTTTCCTCCTCACAAGACAACATTATTTTAATGAGAATTAAGCTTCCCATCCTACTTTCTTGTTGATTTAAAGATAGAAAACCTGAGGCCTTTAACCCAAATGCAATTACACAATGCCTCTTGAACTTGCCTTTTGACCATGCAATTCATCCCCCCACACAAGTTGAAAACAAATGAGTCTTCCCAAATGTTGGAATCTTCTACATTAATAGCTAATTTTTGAAATGTGGGGCTAACGCTTGTGCCATGTCAATGTGTGATAAAAGCATATGATCTACTTTTTAAACATTATTTTTTCTGTCTCTCTCTCTCTCCTCCAAAATCTTACTCCTTGAGAAATACGTAAGTATAAACTGAATACATCGAAGTGAGCTATACACCGTCAGAGACTTGGAGCTGCATCCGTATCGTGTGTCCTTTATAAAGAGTCACAGCATAAACTGAACCTCTCCAGTTCCTTGGTACTTAACCTACACCTCCCCATCATTTTGAGAGAGACGATGAGGAGGGAGCAGAGCAAGGCAGACATCAAACCCATTTATTCTGAATCTTAAATTATGAGTTTTATCATCAATATTTTGGTTACATTGTTACGCAAAGGACAGATAACATCCAGTTTGAGGTCACATCTTTGATTGCTTTGGGGTTAGTGGCATTTCCTTGGCACACAACTACTGTACCGGCTCTCTCAGTTGCAGCTTAATAGTGGTGTTGCACGAGATGCCAACAAAGCAGAGTCCAAAAACCACTCCCGGGGTACAGCAGCCAGTACCTGTAACTACCGTGACTCCTAGTCCAGGTGGCTTCTGGCCAGGTGTTCATCCACAGAGTGTCAATACACCCCTCTCCCTGACAGATCAAAGGGAGATCTCCAGGAAGAGGCAGCGCTCCTGTGTCTTTGAAGCATCTGACAATGTGTGGCCACTCAGAGGCAGGTCTAACCGACCACTGAGACATATCCAGAGGAAAAGCAAAGAGAAGATTCGGCCACTTCAGCTCCACCTTTGTAAAGAGATTCATGACCAATGAGGAATGCAAAGCTACTAAAGGATCCCACAGTATAAATTAAAAATAAAATAAAATAAAATAATAAAACCCAGGCTGCAAGTGTGAAGATGCCTTTGAGAGCTTCCAGGGAAGAATATGCAAAAGGGTCTATTTGCTGTCCTTACTTTGAGAGGCTTTTTTCCCTGGTTTCCTCTCATCCAGAACAAAGTATGCAGATTTTGTTTTGTTTTGCTTATCTCATACAAGGACTGAATGTAAGTTTTTTCTCTCCACGACCCCAGCATAAAAACTACATAGGCTTGAGGAGGGAAACCTGAGGAAGGAAAGGGAAGCTTCCAGAGGAGAAAAGAAAACCACTGACAGTACAGAACAGAAGTTGCAGTCCAATCGTGCAAAATTTGCTTCTCAGGATAAAGCACTTTTTGACAGGTTCCCAATGCCCGGATCCCTCCCAGTCCCCCCAGGACCCCAGGGAAAAGCTACAGAATGAAAATGAAGCCATTTTTTTTTTAAGGCTACACACACACACACAGAACACAGGCCAAAGACTGTCTGGTGGGTGGTTCTTTGCTGGGCCCTTGCTTTAAGCCCCGACTGCAGCGTGCAATCCATCTGAGGGTCAGCAGCGTCTACGTCATCAGGACAAGGGTACAACGTACAAACAGAAGAAGGTAAGTCAATGGTTCCAACAATAAAATCCAATATTGACTTTACAATCACAGGTACAAATTGCTCAAATCGATAATTTCATTTCTCCTTAAGACCATGTCGTCTAAAACTAATTAGAGGCCAGGTTCCCGAGGAATTGTCAAGAGTCAAAGAGAATACTGGATCTTTAGAAGAAAATCGTTCTTCCAGACAATAATCTGATGGAGCTGGGCTCAAGCCATCCTTCCCAGACAAGTTCAAGGTGTTACAGAAGGCAGATCCCTGGGTCCTGATCACAACCTTCCCACCGTCCCAGTGACTCGGAGTCTATAGAGGAAACACCAAGAAGCCCGAGAATGTGGAGTATTTCCAGCCGCCCATGAGGTTGCCTCGCTCCAGTTTGAGGTGGACTTTGTCTTCTCTTTCCATGAGCAGCAGAACACCATTGCTGGCCGCTTCCCTGGTAACATCCTGGTCTCCCGCGAATGCGGAGATCACCGGGTAGCCATTCTGCATTAAACTGACCTATAAGGCAGGGAGGAAGGCTCAGCAATTAGAGAGCACCTCAGCCCACATCCTGCTTGTTTCTCTCCTAAAGCTTGTCACCCCCATCTAACTGTTGGAGCCCACACACCTGGAAGCTGAGAGAGCAATCTTCCACCTGGCTCAGAGTCCACCCCTGTTTACCAGTTCTTCAAGGGCTCAGCTCTCTACCCTACCCACCTGGATTGTTTGTCTGTTGTACACTTTGACCACGTGGAAGCTGAAGCTGTAAATTCCCTTCCTTGGTGCTACAAATATACTGGAGGCAAGGTCAAAGTGGTTGCCAATGTTTACTAAAACCTGGAAAAGAAGAGGGAACAGCAGACTCAGTGCCCACAGTCATGTCCTTTCTCAGCTTGTGTTTTCTCCACTCTTCTGAGTGATTCCCCAAGTTAGTTGGCTCACTGGTATCAAGAGCAGGTACCACCAAATCAACAGTGTCATCCAAACAATGTGTGACACATCCAGTACCAAAATAATAATAATAATAATAATAATAATAATAATAATAATAATAAAATAATAATAAATTCAATGGCAGAAATGTATTCAAAAAGTACTCTCATGGTTTCTAATTAATAAGGACTTTGGAAGTATATTTCAGTTATACATTGAAACAGTAGATAAAGGCTTTGTATGATTACGTACAGGGTATGAAGAATGTGATGAGAGACAATAAGGTCAAGAAAAAACTTGTAAATCCAACACTGTTCTGTTCTGTTCTGTTCTTTTCTTTTCTTTTCTTTTTTTGGAGGGTTGGCTCCTAGGGTGTTCAGCCTAATGTTCTGTTTCATATTAAAACTTCATGTGGAATGAAGAGAGAAGAGGTGATGAACGAGCAGACCAGTCTATTCCATGCATTCACTGAGTAGGATGAAGCTGTGCTCTAACTCCCTGGAGGGGATGGCCTTTGTGTGGTTTCCCTGTCCAGTGAGCCCCAACCTCCAGCAATATAGAGCAGGTCCTTAAATGATGAGTTTTGTAAGTAAGCACTAGATGCCCTGTTCAAATTCAGTCTTCCTAAGCAGTGCTTGCTGCGTTGGCTTAGGGATCATTTAAAAACAATTGAACAAAGAGCTCTCAACTGTAGCTTGGACACTCCTACTCCAACCTAAGGGAATTCCACAGCAGGTGAGAATAAGGGCAAACCTAGCTATCAGCAGAGGACTGGGTAGCTCTGCTGGTAGTTTTCCGAAATACAATAGGAAAAGGAGCAGAATGTGAAGGAAATCAGGCTCCCTGCCTCACTCCCTTTCTGTTCAAAATAGAATCTGGATACTTTGTCTGCACCCTGTTCCCTTCTCTCCTCCTGAAAAAAAAAAAAAATGACCTGCTTGTGTTCTATGTGTCCTAAATAAACAGCAGGCTACACTAAAACCCTGGACCGCCTTCTACCTGACCAGAACACAAGCATCAGCTCCACTGACTTTTCACAGTTGTACAGATGAACCCCAGAGCCAAGCGCTGCCAGCCACCACTGCAGGCCTGGCCTGGGAACACTGCATCCTCATGGTGCTGTGAGCGTGCCTCTGCCCACGAGGGCAGGTGTCCCCGGGCACCGCGGGCTCCACTGCTGAGGACACCTCTGCCGTCTGTTCAGTGTCCCCACGGTGCTTCAGTGGAGAATGACGCATTCCCTTGGTTGCCCTCTGAGCTGTGCTGCCTCCCCTCTCCATCTCATCTCCTCAATGTGGATTTTAAAGTCATGAAACAGGTAAGTCCAAGGCTGCATTTAGATGAGAAGACACCCAGCCAAGCCCCTGAGCAGACGGCCTCCCCCAGTTACAACCTGAAAGTTACCTCATCTATAAAGCAAAATTCCTAGTACTACTGGCCCCATATAAGAATTTTCCTGACAACCCTGCAAATCAGTACACCTGAAAAGGCTGAGAATTTTGTAGGGCACCATAACTGTAAAACAACAATAGTAAAGTAACACTGGATAAAGAAGAATATGAACTATATATGTTTATGGCATGCTTTCTTACCTGGCTGGACATGATGAAATGAAGTATTTTGTATTAAAACAACTTTCCTAAAGCCCTTAAATGCTTGAGTTTTTAAAATGAAAAGAACAGCCTAAAAAGAATTCAAGTGTGTGCATTGGCTATAAGTAGGTTTAAAATCTGGTTCCAGGACAGAAGGACAGCCAATGGTGAATAACTCCACCTGTGTCCAGAGAAGCTTCACAACTATGTTTTACACAAAGCCCCTGGGCAGGAGCATTAGTTGATTAAAGAAAGCATGAAAACACCATCACCTTCTCAGTTTCTGGACTAGATGAGAGAGTACACCTACAGGAAGCCACCCAGAGAATCATTTACATAGCCATCTCCCCAGTTCCTGGCTGCTTAGCCCTTAGGCCAGACACTAAGTGGCTTAAAGCCATTTACGTCACAGGCCTTTGTCTCGTTAAGTTTTCATAGCCATCCTGTGCCTTTATATTTGAATATCCCGTATCGACACGCTATTGTACAGACTGCCCATAGCGGGTACAGGGCCACTTTATCCTGGCATATATTAAGAGAAGCATTTCTGCTGTTGTCCACACTCTTCCCCACTTATTTTTTGTTGAAAATTAACCTTTGTGTCACTGGATTCCAAACATAAGCAGTAGGTCCAGCCTTTGTCGGATCCCTTTTTTGGAAAAGGAACCTTACTAAATTGAGCATCTTTTAGAGGAGCCCTCACCCCTGGTATCTGAAGATGGCTCACCACAAACTCTGCCTTGCCCCCAGCAAAAGGAAAAGAGCAATTTTAGAGAAATGTATTTCATGTTTTAGCTTTACCAAACCCTTGGAGATCTGGGGAGCCTTACAGGACTCCCAGTAATCCGCACGGGGAGAGCTGGTGTTTAATGATTAAACTCTACAGCGCGCTGCAGGGCGACTCCAGGAAGGCACAGTAGTGAAAAGAGCAACGTAAGGGCAAGGCAGAGGTCGGCACACCAGCCCGCGCTCCTCCCGGAAATGTGGGAGCGCCGGCCAACTGTGCACCCGGCCAGCCCTCTCCTCGTCCGCGGGTGGGCGGGTTAGCGGCTGACCTGGTCGAAGTAGATGGTCATGGTGCGGTTGCTCATCTCTGAGGGCTCGTGGTTGGTGCTCCGAGTAGCGGAGAAGGCCACCTTGGCGCTGCCCGAGCGCACGGAAATGCCCAGAGAAGAGGTGACGGCGCCGTCGCCGGACGGGCTGGAATCGCACACGACCAGGCACTTGCCTTCCAGCACGATGGGCTCCGTGTCGTTCTGAGCCTTTACCGGGCAGCAGGCGGGCAACAGCAGCAGCAACAGGGCCAGCGCCGCCCCCAGGCTGGAGCCAAAGTCGGCCGGCTCGCGCAGCGCCCCCCGGCGCCCGGGCATGCTCGGCGGCGGCCCTTGGGGGCCCCGGCCAGGCGCGGGCATCTGGGCTCCGGGGCGCCCCGCAGACGCCAAGGCCGGCAGGAGCCGGAGGGGTGCCTGGGTGCGCACAGGAACACGCAGGACTGAAGTAGTAGCCTTCTCTGGGCTGGGTTCCCGCCTCAGATTGTCAAAGCCAAAGGATTCTCAGAAGGAAGGCACCAGCGGACCTGTCAGAGCAAAGAACCCAGACCCTTAGGCAGGCGGGTGGGGCAGGGGACTGCCTGGGGCGCTCCAGGTCCCGCGGGATGGCCACCCCGGGGGTCCCCCAAAGCTATCCTCATTCCAGATGGGAGAAAGCTCTGGCGCACTGCTCAGCTCTCCTAGCTGATTCTTGGAAGGTGAGCTCCTGGGCTGTGATTGTACAGGACCTTGTAAAAAGGGTTGGGGACCTACAAGACGGTTTTAGTACCTTCCGCTGCCTACTCAGACCAAGACCTCTAGAGGAATTAAAAGCGGTCAAGACAAAACCATCAACAACAACAAAAAAGAGGCTTTATCAGCTTTGTTTCAGTGGCTTTCTGGATAACCATGGGAAGAAACCCTTCCTCTCCCTGCTTTTCCGTTTATCATATATTTTCCTGTCCAGGAAGTAATTCTTAAGCAGGCCATTTCGAAAAAAAGGATCGCCCTCCCCCAAGAACAAATCCCGGAAAGCTCCTTGGGTGGGTGAGATTAAGAAAAAGGGAAGAACAGAAGCGGAGGGAGGCGGGATGGGGGTGGGTGAAGAGCGAAATTCTAAGACCCACTTCCAGAGTCCCCGCAGTCCAGGGCTAGCCCCGGGAAAGCTGGAGTCCTCCTCTGGCAAAGGCTGACTTCAGCATCACGGCCCCGATTTTACTCATTTGCAGGCGTTTGTCTCTGCATCCGACTCCCCTCTCCGCTAATTTGGGCGGGTTGGCACGTTTACCTGATCCTCTCTTCTGCTAAACCGGAGAGGCCATTTGGAACACCAGCCCAGGAACACAAACAAACAAACAAACCAACAACGCTCCCCTGGCCGCCCGCGCTCTCCGAACTACTCTCCCCGCGTTCTTTCTAAGAAAACAGAAGTTGGCTTCCAATAAACAGCCTGTCTAAACCTCCCACACAAAGGGTAGGGCCCCTCCCCAGCCCAGCCCCAGCTCCACCACCGACCCTCCTGTCTTTCGGGAACCCCAGCCCTCGCTTTTCTCGGAGTCCCGTTGAAGCAAAAAGGCAGCTAGCGAGCAGACCCCAGGGGTCAGGGGTCGGGTGGGTTACCTGGAACGTCCATGACGGGCGAGCACCGACCTCCGCGAAGTTCTTCTGCGGAAAGAAGATGAGGCAGCAGGAGCTGGCGGGAGGAGGACACCTCGGAGCAGGACCCTTCTCCCGGCGCCTGGCCAATAACGGCTGCGCCCCGCCCCGCCGCCTCTCCGCGGTCCGCTCCGGCTCCGCGACTCACCACGCCCCGGCCCCGCGCGCGCGGAGAGCCGGCCGCACACGGCGCGCCACGCTGCTCCGCGCCCCGCCGTGCCGGGAGCCGAGCCCTTCCCGCTCGGGCCCGGGGTGCTCCGCAGCCCGCGCCCTCCCCAGCACCACCTCCGGTCCCCGCCTCCGCCCCGCACTCCAGAGGACACGGCCCGGGCTGCCAGCCGCCGGCTCCCGCGTCCTGGAATCCACAGCCCCTTCCCCGCGACCCCCACGCGCCCTGCCGCACTCAGGTCCGCTCTCACCTGGACGCCCAGCGCAGTTCTCCTCGGGGCCTTCTTAACACTAGGCGCCCTCGGAAGCACCGGCCCCGTTTCTTCTTCCTGAGTCTTTTTCCTTTCCAAATTCCCTCCAAGTCTTAATCTTGAACGGAGTGGCCACTTTCATAATTAAAAAGGGAGAGGGGGCACTTAAAAAAAAAAAAAGAAAGAAAAAAAGAAAGAAAGAAAAAGTGTGTGTGTGTGTGTGTGTGTGTGTGTGTGTGTGTGTGTGTGTGTGTGTGTGTTTTAAAGGGAGGAAAAACCTTGGTAATTTAATGATATCTGTGATTTCCAAAATCTCTCGTTAGCGAAGCGTCAGCGTTTGGCAGAAATTAAAGAGGCTCTTCCCGCCTGGGTTTATGTGTCTGCGGTTCTGAACCCCGAGGCTGGCGAAGCGCGCGGGCACCGCGCGAGATTATTAAAACGCAGTCTCTGGGCTCTAAAGACCGGGGAGACTCGCGGGTTCCGAGCTGCGCCGAGAGGCCAGGATGCGCAAGCACGGACGAGGGGCGCCACCTACGGGCGCCGGGGCGTCCGCGCCACCGGCTGCGAACGAGCCTACTCAGTGCGGGGGAGTGCAGGGGACAAGGAGAGGCTTGAGTCTTTTGGTTTTTCTTCTTCACCGCAGCCCCTAAAATAGCGCCGGTGCCTGAAATAAAAATAAATAAATAAAATAAAAAGCAAAAGCAAAGAGGTTCTCTTTCAATGTCCGTTCGCCTCGCAATTCTCCGCAGGCAGGAGACAGGCTTGTGTTTATAGCATTCACCCCTCTAACTTTCCAAGGGGACGTGTGCTCCTGTAGCGCTTGTCTCTGGGATGTACTTCCCGCACAGCCTTTGCACAAACCTTTGGGATGGGTAGCCCATATCGACACTGAACAAAGAAAGGCAGCTTTTGAACAGGGACTCTCGGACCTGATTTTTAGAAGCGTTGTTACAGTGTTTTTTGCTCTCTTGTGGATAATACGGCTTTCTGATAGGCTGATGGAAAAAAGTCAGCGCTTGTGTAGTTCATTAGAGCATGGCACATTCCTGTCTTTCCCCCCAGACATCTTCACACCTATCTGTCTTCCCTTTGAAGATTCCAGTCGTTCTGCTTCCGCCTGATGAGACCTGTCCTCTCACATAAGAGATTTTGAAGCCCCCATTTACTGGCTCTTTCATGGAAAGGAGGGTGCGCAAATGCCCACATGAAGCCCACCGCCTCGGCTTAGTTAAGGCCAAAGGTTTCCCGTGGGTATCAGGGTGGTGATTTAAAAGCGTCAGAACAAATGCATCTTGCTCCTCACAACATGGAGAGCGCTACAGAGTATAAAATAACTCCAAAATCCATCAGCCCTACATTAAGTCCCTGGAAATTGTAGCTTGCAGGCGCCATGCTCTGCGTTGCCGGGAAGCTAGTAGAGGCGCAGCAGCCGCGTCCTACTATCATTTGAGAGTTTAAATCAGCAGAAATGGTCCAATCTTACTTGAGTTATTTTGCTCTAATATTGCCTGAATTTGACTGTCTCTGCCGTAGAGGTACGACAGGATGGCGCCATCAGAAGACTGAACTGGACGGAAACCTGACAGCGGAGAAGAGAGTACAGCAGGAATGAGCAGGTGGGAGCGCCAGCGGCCTGTTCATTGAGAGGAAAGCCTTGCACACATCTGGAATCTTCAAGTAACTGTTTAAACAGCTCCCTTAAGGGCTCCGACATATTTGACTTATATAAACACCTGAACTGACTTATTGCCACCTTTGAAACAACAACACAAAACAACACCGAATAAAACAAAAGCAAAACAAAACCAAAAACAAACATTTTACGGGAGGGGGGAGCAGTGCATAAACAAGTAAGGAAACCCTTGAGCTCCGCCACTTTGGAATCAGGGTACGATGTGAGAGGAAGCATCCTTAGGTTGTGACGTGGAAAACGTGAACAGCGCTCTAGTTCTATATTTAACAAGGGAGTTAGAAATCGTGGTAAGTATCAGATCGCCATAAAAGCGGGTAATTTATTGGTCCACCAATCAAAAGTTCTGCCTACCAGAGTTTACCCTAGGATCTAGATGTTTAGCTTGTAGCAGGTTTAGGGATTATATCCGGAGTCCTGAGTTAAAACCTGAAAGTTCTGTGTGTGTTTCAATGGTTAAATGTCCTGCTTCATCTTTTCCTTACCAGAAATCGTTGTGATTATCATCAGGATATGGGGAATAGAGTCTGACATTGATGCTATCAAACAGCTATTGAGCGGTCCTGATGTAGGTGACCTAGGTCTTACTATGGTCTTTGTCTATGGTAGCGGAGAGCAAGCTGCCCCTGAGCAGCACCCTGAGCCCCAGGCTCTCATCATACACAGATAGCGGGGAAGTTTTAGAATGTCAAAGTGCACTTAAAGAACCTCGGGGGAAGTTAAGCTCCTGCTCATTTTATTTAGTCATCTCTCGTAGCGCTTACCATGATCTTCACTGCACAGGACCCACTGCTGCAAAGCAACTTCATCCTGCACTGGTCTTTCTCTAAACCACCTACGACAGCATATTTCTGGTTTCTTTCTAGGTGTGTCTTAGATAGGATCTCTCCTGGGTCCCTTGTTCTTGGATGCAAAACTCATAAACATAATTTTACAGAAGAACATGTGCATTAATAATAATGTGTATTTCTTTAATAATGTGGGGTGGTGGCTAGAAAATGACTAAGGTGTGGAATGTTGCATTGATGCAGAAATATCATAACACCTTCAATTACACATAGTGATTTGTTTAAACATCTTCATATATCACAGTGAAGCAAAAGCATTAATGAATGAATGATGAAAAAATAAATACTTCAAGCAACATGGGCATTTTGGTCTTAGTGAATTAATAACATGTAAAAGGTTTTAAAATTGGAATGAACTGTAACTCAGCCTCTGATCTATCAAAAAGACTAAGAAAATTTACTTATATGAGGCGCGAGGTTGTATTTATTAACTGAAATCATGATGCAATCATATTATCCCAGCCAAATTAGATAAACATTAGTTGACTAGGTTAAAATTCAGGCTACTGAATTCATACTGTCATTGTCCTAGAGTCATACTGAGCTAATAAGTTATTAGCTCTATCCAGGATCAGACCTGATTTTTCACATCATACATCAGAGACTTCAATGGACACAGTTCAATGTTTGATATCCATTCCATGTTTTTGTTATCAAATGATGTCACACCCAGATACTGGAATTGGGTTCAGTGGTACTCTTTTCTTCTTTTTTTCTTATTTGTTTGTTTACTTTTTGTTTTTCTGACAGGGGCTCACTCACTATAACTCTCTGGCTGGCTAGGAACTGACTATGGAAACCACTAACACCCACCTGTCTCTGCCTTTGTCTCCTGAGCATTGGGATTAAAATTGTGCTACTTTCTCAATATTGTAAAACTAACATACTGTCTTGTAAGAATACATTTTATTATCCCCATTATGAGTATATTAGGACTTATGGGACCTATGAAGAAATTCTGTTTAAAATATAAAGTAGCCTACTTGCTAATTCAAAGTCCCATAATGGATGATCTTTTAAAATTATTTATTTTATTCATGTCTATGTGTCTGTGTTCGTGTATGGAATACATGTGAAGATTCCCAGGGAGGTCAGAAGAGGAAGTTGGAGGCAGTGGACCTAGAGTTGAGTATAGCTGTACCAATGATTTCTCGAAGCATCTAATTAAAGAATTTGTTAGATGTTGCAAGAAACTGTGAAGCACTCAATAAAATAAGGTCAAACGTGTGTGTGCACGTGCACACAAACAAACACACACACTTATATATGGAGAGAGACAGAAAAAGGTTAATTGGAGTTACACTGTGGGGTTAACGATGGCCCAACTGGACACTACAAGCTAACAAATAAAATGGAAGTACCAGCAATGCGGTATCAGCTTTGGAGTTGTTGGCCAGTGAGCCCCGTACACTCCCGGCTGCTGCCCGTGTTAGACCTTGCTACTAAAGGTACCACACACTTCAGTCACGCAACACAGATATATGAAACTAGTACTGACCTGGAAGCTTCAGCTCTAAGGCTAGCTTTCATCATGCTAGAAGCATAGTAAGTGCTGGAGGAGAAAAAAGCATTCATCATTCTTTCCAAGTTGTGAGCCCGAAGTGGCAAGACATACCTACTGGGGAAGAGTGATATGGATAAGTTTAAACAAGCTGTGGCTATCTAAAGTGCACTAGGGAACAGACTTGGGGGGTCTGGAAGAGCAGCAAGCGCTCTTTCCTCTGAGTCACCTCTCTAGCACTCCCATAGGACTAGAATGTCTTAAAAGTTACATAGAACCAAAGTTAATATACTTGTGAGCTTCTAACACTGAAATTAGATAGCCATTAGAAGACAAAGCAAGAATTTATTAGAAGAGGAACACTTTCTCTTAATTTTTAGGTCTTCCTGTCTTCCTGATGGTTCCTTGAAAAGTCTCTATTGCATTACAAATTGGGTCAAATGTCTAATGTCAGTCATTTCAGGCTTCTCAAAATAACTGGGTTTAAATACAAAGGAAATGCCTGTCAACTTTTTCTCAATAAGAAATAGCTAATCGTAGATAAAACAGTTCCTATGTGCTTTGCTTCAAAAAGAAAAGTTTTTGGTAAGAAAGCTATGGAAAAATCACTAACATATAGCTAAAACATTTCCTCACTTCCTAAATTTTCCCTTAAATGCTCTTTCTACTAAAATAATGGCACATTTTCATTTAGAATGAGCTGCAAATGTGCTGTCAGACGTTGTGATACCCACAATATTTTGAGTGTGTGTAATAAATACTGTTCTGTGATCACGTGTGAGGGATTGTTTTCTCGTTCTAATTGATGTTGAAGGGTCAGCCAAGTGTGGATAGCATAGTCATTGAGCAGGACCACCCGGGTTCTGTGGAGAAGGTAGATAAGCAGGAACCAACTAGATGGAAAATTCTTAATCCAACATGAGCATAACCATAACACTGTTGTTTCAAAATACATTTGGCAACCTTCACTGGATTATTTTATGACTGACATTAACTCTTGATCTTGAGAGTATTGGGTGGACATGGAGCACCCTCAGGGAGCACTAAATGAGCACTCTCAGGAAGGCTCTGAGCTAAGACTGAGCAACTGAAAGGCCCAGGATAAAAATAGGATACTCCCTTAGGAGCCACGCTTTTGATGTCATCCACTATAAAAGCCATTTTATACTGATCATAAGTTTTTAAGAGAGATATGATTTCTCTGAACAGAAATCGGAGTTCAAGCACAAATAGCCTTAGGAAATGCCTCAGGATCTGATAGTGATGGCGTCCTACCTGGCCAGTTGAATGCGGAGCCCTCTCTGTGAATGGAGCACTAGTGTGAAAAACTTGAGGGGCACAACTGTGCCTCCAGTCATGTCTAGC